CCTTGCGTGGCAGAGGGTGTGCTGCCGCAGAGCCTCAGCGGCTGTGCCTTCTTTCAGGAAACAGCTCCTGTACTCCCCCATCATTCCCTTACTTTACCTGTCTATCTTTTCTCCCTATTCTCCTAGTGTCACCTCGAGACATTTTTATTTTCAATTCCAAGTGGAGAGTGTGACCTCAGATTGAGTAAGGACTCACCTATCTTTACTTTGTTTAGTAAAAGTCTTCAGCTTCCAGGGATAGGATGAGGTGGCCACTTCACAAAGGATCCAAAATAACAACACCCAGTAAAGCTCACTAGAAGCTGCAGCAGCTGAGAAGGTTCGCTTAGCACACGCCTTCTTTACAGCCACGGGTGCAGCACACAGAGAGGAGGTGGAGAGGGAAGGGGGAGAAGAAAGAAAATGGGTCCTGAAGATGTCGCCCAATTTCAAGGATCTTAGCAGTCTTCATGTGCAGTTTGGGGAGGGAGTTGTTTGATAATGAGTAAAGATGGTTCTACAAAGATTACCTGATTCCACTTACACAAGAATATGTATTCACAGCTGATATAATTATATTCATGTCCTATCCCTAGAACTCACTGAAGTAGACTTACCAAGTCAGCCTTTCGGTTTGGGCTGGAATTTTGGGGAGTGGATTGTTAGGATAGAGAGGAAAGTACTTGGTACACATTTTCTGATGAATGTTATGTACACTGTTTCAACCTGTTGAGTGGCGCTTTGTAGAGCTCCATGTTTACGTTCAGTGTCAACACCATTGTTCAACAGTTCTGCATGTCTTCACACAATGTAATCTAACTTTCGTGCCCCTTGGGCCATCCATAGAATCATTTACAGCAGGGTCCCACTTAATCTACTGCAATGGTCATGCACAGTTATCAACAGACATAGAGCTTCAAGGGTCAAATTTTATCAGTTAAGAATTTTCTGTCTTTGTATTTTTGCCATTTCCAAAATGGGTTTATAATTTAAGAAAAAAGGGTGTGGGTAGGTAGTGATGTCCTTAGCATTTAGGAATGACATAGCCTCTGGAGTCTACAAACTGTAGAAACTTTAATCTGATCACTACAGCCTCTGAAATCCAAAGTAATAGAGCCTGTGGGTCTGTTGAGGGGGTTTAGAAGACTTCAGATTTAGGATAACACTAACTTATTCCTGACCACAGCAGCGAGAGGCCATGAATGCAGAAATTGTGCTTGGGACTCAGTCTTGCTTTTGTTTATCCATGACAGAGAATCTGAGACACAGAGCAGCTGAGAACTGAAGGCTCTACCAGTGTATAAATAGAGCCCCCTACTCCAGACCACCCCTTGAGCTGAGAACCCAACCTCCAGCTGGGCTGGAGTGTCAGGCTTGGTACAGGGTGACTTTGGCACAGCTTTGTCAGATTGTTAGAACAAACTGGAATTTAAGCTTTCATTTACCCTAGTGTACTTTCTTTTAAAAAAAAAAAAGAAAAAGAAAAAAAGTATGTGGTATAATCGAGATGGATACCTGTATCTTTAAATTACGTAGGGAATTTTGTATGTTTAAATAATTGTCCTGGGTTCCATAATACTTATCTTAGGAACTGTTTAGTAAAAGAAAATACATAAACCGTGCATTTGTGAATGCCCCCCTTAGAGCATTCATCCAAGTTCAATGTGTAGTGTGATGGTTATTATAGGTATTTAAAGTATAGTAAGTGGCTGTGTAACGGGAGAGACTGCGGTTTACCTGCGTACTTAAGGGTAACTCCTGCCCACGTAATTAAATCAGTATTGTCCTTTCCTGTCGGTTTGATCAGTTGCAGTACTGGTAGCTTCCTGCTTGTGACTGTTACCTAAGTGTGTCGATGTACATCTGTAGAATGTACATGTGAAAGTGCCTTTCTATTTTAGAGGAGTTGTAGCCTTGCTCTTGTACTGTCGCCCGCCCACCTGCCCCCATCCCCGCCGCCCACTGGAGTGTTCTGAAACTTCCTCCATTCCCTCCAGCTTCTCCATCCTCCCTGTCTGTGCCTCGGTGCTCAGTAGTGTCCCGTCTTGCATCCTTGTCGGTCATCAGACTGTCTCGTTTTCCCTGTAGACGTGATTGTGCCTTTCTCGCCCCGGCGGTGGCGCCCTGGTGGTGGCACTCTGGTGTCCCCGCATCCCCCGAGTCGTCCCTCCCCGCCGCTGACCACCGTCGTGTCGCCCATGCTCTGTCTGCCTCTTACCGCGATGTTCCCTCCTCTGTGAGGTGAAAATAAAGGCGGATGCTTTTACAGTTCTGGAAGAAAAAATCTGTTTTGTTAATCTGTTGTGACAATGCACTTTTATGTAGAGTACTGTACATTTTGGCATGTACCGTTACAGGCTTCAGTATACAGTCGGGTTTGTTCTTCACGGTGTATCTTTATAATAAATAAGATAGTTCTGGCTGCCTTTGTCTGCTTCCAATTTGGTGTGATTCTCCATGGTGTTTTCATTCCTTTCCTTCCTTTTTCTCACCACTGTTTTCCCCCAGAGAGTGGTTTGCATTAAATACTGTGAAATTTTGCCTTTCAAAAAAAAAAAAAAAATGTTTTTCTCTCCCTTTCATTTTTTTTCGTACGTTTGAAAATGAGGCGTCAGGCACAGGGCCCTGTCCATGAAGCTGTGGTTTTCATGGTGTGCAGTGCAGGGAAAGGCCCTGGAGAGGCCTACCTGAGATGCCCAGAGAACACAGCCCTCCCACACACACACCAGACTGAAATCTTTCTTCTGAGAAGGCCTCTTTGGCATAATAAACCTTGTCAAGCTGAGATTTTGTTTTATTTGAATAAATTGAAATATAATATTTAGGTATTGACTATGTTTAGAATTCCCCATGTATTGATTTTTTTTTTCTTCAAACATTTTAAAAAACAAGGTCTAGCAATACAAAATAGTTTTGTAAAACAGTATCAGGCATGTGCTGGACTGAATATTGATAAGAGATGTGGAGTTTTTTTAAATGACATAAATCAAGGGGAAAAAATGAAGTATAAAATACATACAGAAGAGTGTGCAAAGCATTAGCGTAATAGTTTTCACAAAGTAACATGCTAATGTATCCACCACCTAGATCAAGAAACAGCACATTATCAGCATCTCAGAAGCTACCACACTCATGCCTCACCGAGGTTAATCAATAACCACTACAGTTTGGTTTTGCCCGTCAGGTTAACATTCTATAAGCAGGTTCATACAGTATGCAGGTTTTGTGTCTGGTTCTTTTCGTTGAAGTTTATGTAAGAGTCATCGTTGTTAATACAGCAGTAGTTTTTCCACTTTTACTGCTGTATAGAATTCCATTACATGGATACGCTCAATATTTAAATTAGTATTTCCTGATTAACATTGGGGACTGTATGCAGAAATCTTTAGACATGGAAAAATGAATTAAAAAAAAAATCCCACTTGCTAAAGGAACTGTTTTCCCAAAACATGATGGAATGATGATGAACTAAGCCATTGACTGGAAGGCCTACCTGAATATAGAGGTAGTTGCTTTTATTCATTTCCCAAAAAACTGACCAATCTGGAGGCAAGAACTGTTCGCAGATGACACTGAAACTAGTTTAAACTTTATTTGATGCTGCAGTTCTCTTACCTGATGCTGGATGCTTTTCTTCAATGACCACTTTAAAACCAGGAACAACAAATACCCAAATCAGACAGTGGGATTGTTCCAGGAAAGCCCACTTGCCTGCATCGCTCTTACTGCTACCCTCAAATCCGAGAGCCGCAGCCTCCCACAGCCCTCTCCGTGTGCTCCTGCCTCCTCACAGCCCTCACTCCTGAATCAGAGTCCCATTGGGGTGTGTCTGGTTATCACTTTTCATGGTTCAAAAGCCCTGTACAAATCTTAGGCAGAGAAAGGGAGTTTTCTGGCTTCTACTAAGAAGGAAAATTCACCGAGTTTGATCTAGAATGTTAAAAAGGTCTTGGAAAGCCCAAAACTATGGCAAATTCCATTCCATGGGCCATATATCCCCTTTTGGGTTTTGGAAAATATGGTCAATATACCTTTGTGGGGGGAACAGATTGCTCCTCTTGGAGTTCTGAAATAACATGCTTTGTTCAGCATGAATATCTTGAAGTTATGGCATGATCCAGGAGATCTCCAGCTCTAGGGTATTTGTAATCCAGTTCGGGCAACTGGCAGGTGCATTCTTCATACCCACCAGCTCTCTAACAGGAGTGCTCCCGAGGGTGATTGGCTTTCTTTAAGCTGCTTGGGTGTGCAATGAGGAT